CTATGAGGCTAGTATTATTCTAATACAAAAACATCACAAGGTAAAGACATCACAGAGTTACTGAGCAATATCCTAATTTTTAAAATATTTTTTTCAGTTTGTTTTGTTTAATTTTTATTGATTTCAGAGAGTAAGGGAGAGGGAGAGATAGAAACATCAGTGATGATAGAGAATCATTGATTGGCTTCCTCCTATACACCCACACTGGGGATCGAGCCCATAATCCAGGCATGTGCCCTTGGCCGGAATCAAACCCGGGACCCTTCAATACGCAGGCCAACACTCTATCCACTGAGCAAAACCAGCTGAGCAAAACCAGCTAAGGTGACCACTATCTTTTAATAATGTAAATACAAAAATGCTCAACAAAATACTTGCAAATCAAATGCAGTAACTTATAGAAAGGATTATACAGCATGATCAAGTGAGACTTATTTCAGGAATGCAAGATTGATTTAGTATTCAAAAATTATGTAATACACTATATCAATAGACTTAAGGACCAAATGACAACAACAAAAAAACCTCCACATGATCATATCCAGATGCAGGAAAATATCACAAAATTTGACATCTCTTCATGATAAAAACAATAAACCAGTAGAAAGAAACATCTTCAACCTGATTAAAGGCATGTGCAACAACAATAACAAAAAACTTAGCTCACAACTACTTCATAGGCAAAAAAATGAGTGCTCTCCTCTAAGAATACAGAGTAAGACAAGAATGTCTGTGCTCATCAAGAATGTCTGCTATTCAACGTTGAACTGGAGGTTGTAGCCAGGTCAGTTAGGAGGGGGAAAAGGAAATAAGCATCTAGACTGGAAACAAGTAAAATGACCTCTATTTGTAGATGCCATGATCCTGTATGTGTAGAACATTCTAAGGAATCCACTAAAAACTATTATAACTAATAAATGAGTTCAGCACTTATAGGTGTATTCACTTACAAGGGTGGCAATAGGATTTGATAAGACTCAACCTCAAGGGCAGAGAATGTTTCTTTTAATTACCCTGCCCAATCTTTTCTGTCTTTTCTTTCTCACAAAAGTGCTTTCTGAGCTGACCTGTTGTGGAAGGTCTTTCCAAGCTCCTGGTGAGAAATTAATATGCTGATTTAATGCATTGATACCTTTTGTCTTTGAGAATCCATAGGAGCATTTCAGTTTATAATGCAGTTGATCGGTAGTGTTATCATTGTTTTTGACTTCCCCACCCTAAAGAAAATTCAGCTTCCTGACACAAAGTATTAATAATCAATGTAAAATTTACTGAGAGTTCCATAAAGAAGACACAGTTTACACTGCACACCATATAATGAATAACTTAGGAAATCCTCTTACTAAATGTTTCCTACAAAGTTCATCATGGGCACCCCATCCTCTTCTCACTTGGCCATTTTCCTATGTAGGACTCAGCCTTGATGGATCCTGATTTTTCTGTTTCTTCATCTTCTCTTGCTCTTAACCAATATACTCCCAATGCATGCTTTTCTCCCCCTAACTCATTACTTTCATATGCACAGCAAGTCAGCTTTCCCCAGCTCCTGCAAAGCTCGGCGCCTCTCTCCAGATCCTCTGCACATAAGTTCCTTTCCATCACAGCAACCATAGTGAGGAACATTACATTGTGTGAATTAAATATACATATATTTAGTGCATATGTATGCATTATCTTGGGGAAATTATTTAGCTGCTTCCTGCCTCAGTTTCCTCATGTGGAAAATGGGAAAGATAATAATAGTAGAGTTAATGTGATTTAGTTATGGAAGGCTCTTAGAATAATAACTGGCATAGAGAAAGCACTCAGTAACTGGCATAGCTATCATTATTAAATAGAAAAAGATTATTAGTGACAACAAAAGTTCTTATCAAAACGTCACATCTAAAATAGTACTTTAATAATATTGCCCAGCCATTTATTAAATCGATAGCAATTAATCCCATGTGGAAAGATGTCTCTAAGTGATCTCATATATCCCTCCTGCGAACAGCAAAGTGCAGTGGGAAACCATGCAAACTAACAGGCCTGAATTGGAATCTTGGCTCTGTCCGTTTGTCAGATTGCAAACTGTGTAATTTTACACAAATTACATAACCTGCTTGAGTTTCAGTCACCTCATCTGTGAATTGGAATTTTGTAGTTGTCTGTGTCAGTTAGGCAAAGAAAAGATAGGTGATAAAGTGGTAACTATTATTATTATTGACTAGTAGATGGAAAATAATCGGTTTACAGATGGTAAATATTGTCGTAAGTCATTGCTTCAAATAATTCAGTGGAACAGTTTTCTCTGGTTGGTTTTCTGCCTTTTGACCCTTAAATAATGTTTAACCTGCTGGAAGCATTACAAAATGATAGAATTAAAGTGGACAAAGGTTTCTGAGATGGGATTTCTGATTTCCTCTAGATCATAAATGGAGACTAGACTTTGAGGACTGAAAGGTTAAGAGACATTGGTCTGTGGTGCTCCCATTAGAAATTATCTTGGTGTGAGAAAGCCTTGGAGTCACTGCTTGACACCACCAGAGGGCGAGCTACGGCCATACAACACTGAGTTTGGGACCTAGAGGAGATCTTAGGGCAGTGATGGCGAACCTATGACACACGTGTCAGAGGTGACACGTGAACTCATTTTTTTGGTTGATTTTTCTTTGTTAAGTGGCATTTAAATATATAAAATAAATATCAAAATATAAATCTTTGTTTTACTATGGTTGCAAATATCAAAAAAACTTCTATATGTGACACGGCACCAGAGTTAAGTTAGGGTTTTTCAAAATGCTGACACGCCGAGCTCAAAAGGTTCGCCATCACTGTCTTAGGGACTGTCCCAGATTTATGTCAGACCACAGATCCCAAGGAGGGAATGGATTTCATAGGAAGGCCATCTTGTCTTGTGACACTGCTGTGTGTGCTCTTCCTGGAACATGCAATAGGTAGAAAACCAGCATTTCCACCTTTTGCCTTCTAACACGTCTGGCTCCACTCCCAAATCCCAAGCCCCATTTCTTCCTCTCCTCTGTTCATGAGGAATGAGAACTTGGGAAAGAGGGGGATCAGTTTTGAACTGCTTGTAGCTGGTGAAATAATCTTGAAATAACTCATTAAAATTTTTAGTACCTAGATGGACCTATATTTCATTTCATATTCCAATCTATATCCAGAGAGACCAAAGTCCTGAAACCACTTATTCTTTTCTTACCTGTTACCACAAATGTTCCCCCCAAACCCTCAAAGGTGTTGGTTTAATTTCGCATTGCCATCCCCAGACCACCTACCATCTCTATGTATAGGTCTCTTCCAAAGCCCAGAGCTGCTGCAGCAGGTAGACGATGAGGCAGGGGGAGGGGACAGGAAGAGGAGCACCAGCACGGAAGGGCTCTTCTCTTTTGGAGACTAGATTCCTGGCACTTGATGAGTCAGTTAAAGGAGAGTGAGTCTGAAGGTTCACAGGGAGGACTTTGCTGCCTGCTCCCAATATCTGTGAGCAGAGCAGACTTGGCTGCTCCAGCTCAGTCTGTGATCCCTGAAGTGAGGAGTTATATTACCATGGCTGAGCCAAATTATATTGTTTTTCTGGGAATGGGAATTAACCCAAGCTTAACTCCTATTTCTGTAAAATGAACAAAGATAAATTAAAGGGTTAGATATCCTGATTCACCATGATTTGCACTGATTTTTGTGCTGGAAATGGGCTTACGTAAGCTCTCTTTGATTTAATCAACTAACAAATATTAGATTTAAATTCAGGTTTCAGCCTCGTATGCTAAAATGCACAAAAACACACCTGGACGCTAGGGATTAGGTTCCTGATAGGCACAAGGGTTACAGTAGGGAAATAAGTCCTTTGAAGAAAGAATACTGGGAACATTTATACTCTGAGGCTAGTCAGAACACTCAGGGAATGGTGTCTCCTCTGGGATGGAGTTTGTAGTGAAAAGGGCATAGTAGCAGGAACCAGGTCTGTTATATTACAAAAGGCCTGAAATTCCTTGCTAAGAAAATCAGAATGAATATTGTTTGTAAAAGCCGGAGATTCCCATTATCATTTATATCTTTTCTTAAAAACATATGTTTTATTGATTTTTTACAAAGAGGGAGGGAGAGGGATAGAGAGTTAGAAACATCGATGAGAGAGAAACATCGACCAGCTGCCTCCTGCACACCTCCTACTGGGGATGTGCCCGCAACCAAGGTACATGCCCTTGTCCGGAATCAAACTTGGGACCCTTCAGTCTGCAGGCCGATGCTCTATCCACTGAGCCAAACCGGTTTGGCTCATTTATATCTTTTAGGTAACTTTCAATCGTGCCTAAGATAAGACTTGAAAATTACAAATTACAATGGTTTCTTTCCTTTTTTTTTTTCTTTCCATATTTGACTCCATAGTCCTGTAGACATGTGTGTTATTGGAGATTAGGAATTTCTCCTGTGGAGACCGCTTAAGGACTACTTTAATAGATGGAAAGATGGTAAGAAAATAAACTAGATATGTTTCAGTGGCAAAAGAGAGGCAAAGGCAAATGGAAAGATTTCAGGGATACCACGGGCAATGTTACTCTATCACCTGCACTGTTATACTATTGTTATCTCAAATAATACTTGATAGGTGAGGCTTTCTCTGATTCCCCCTGGCCAGCCACCCATGTGGTTTCCTAAGCTACTGCTGCACTTTAGGCACACATCATTTATGTGCCCATCAGCTTGCCGGCTTCTTTAGGGCAGGGATCATATATCTTTTAATCTCTGACTTTTGCAAGCCTTCTAATGACCTGCAAGCAGGTGTGTTGGATGGTTGTTGAATGAGTGGTAAATACATATTCATAAATGACTAAAGTTTGAAGACTAATTGGCAGCAAAAGCACTAGCATTAACGATTCAATGATATCAAGACAGTAGGCTGTTTGCTACCGATCAACCGAACCTTTCGTAGCACTTAAAAATAAAAATAAAAATTAAGCTTGTAAACTCCCCATCCCACAAATAGCCAGAGGCTGGAGTGCTAGCTTTACAATAACTTTTTTTCCTTGGCTGGTTTTATTGAGTGGCTAACAGGGAGTGTTTTAAGAAAACGGTAGTCAAGAACTGGAACACGGGAAGTACTGGTTTCTCTATCAGTTTGATGGTAAAGGCGATTAGGAATTCAAATCTCGAAATTCCAATTACACGCCTGCAGGCCGGAACCAAACCGTTCGTGCTGCCATTTCCGGGCGGATGCCTGAGTATGTTACAATGGAGCGCCAGCTCGCCTCCGGCGGAGGTCCCTCCGGAGAGGACCGCGAGCAGAAAGGCTGAGACTCAGTCCTGGTCCTCGAAGAAGCCGGAGCCGCAGATATTGGGGCACCCGCGCTGGGCCTGTTGGGCAGGTTGTCCTAGTGGGTCGGAGAGTGCGCCCGGCGCAAGAACAAGAGTCTTGGCTACGGTGTCCGGATGCCGGTGACGGAGCTGGGAGAGGTGAGAGCCAGCGGCTAGGAAGCGGCGCGCGGGGACTCCGGAAGGGGCGGGCTCCGTGGGTGGGACCGGATTGCGCGGAATCCACGCGGGAGGCTGAGCCCTGGGAACCCACCGGGCCCCGCTGCGTGGTGGAGGGATGGGAGTTTTTAGGCGCCCTCCCTGAGGCCGAGAGACTGGCAGGCGGTAACAACATACACCAGAGCCGAGTTTTAACCCGGGTCTGGTGATTACCAAGTCTGCATCTCCCAGTTCCTACAGCGCGCAGCGTCTCAGGGCCGCTGGGGCCCAGCGCGGTTACTTAATAATTGTACAGTTTGGGGCATCTCCGTGCACCAGTTTCCTAGTTTGTGAAATGGGCGGAATTCGTATTTCACACAGTTGTAAGGATAGTTACAGGGTCTAGCGCAGTGTCTGCTAAGCGGGAGAGGCTCCGCAGTGGTAGCTGTGTTCTCCTTTTTGCTTCTGTAGCTCTGCTTACCCTGAGCACAGTGCCGCCCCCAGGATGTTGGATGGTGATCTTCATGTGTTCGTGTCCGATCTTCCCTCAGCGCCCCGAGAATGGGGACTGTTCCCATTGCTCAGGGAGCACATGTGGACACGGGTGTAACCGTGGAAGGATTAGGCCTTGAAGTCAGTCAGACCGAGCTGGAATCCAGACAGCTCGCTTTATTTGCTGTGTGGTTTGGGGCAAGTTGTTTGCTATTGCAGTCCTTACAACAGCATAATTTGGATAAAGGTTTGAAACAGGAGGTAGGCCTTTCAGTCAGAATGGAGTCCAATTATACCAGCAGGGCCAAGGACATGGTCACTTCATTTTCAACATAAAATAGTCTGTTCGGAGGAAGGGTTGTAAGCCTTATCTTTGATGGCCTGTCAAATATACTAATCGGCTTATGAGCACAGTTGGAGTCAGGCAATAAAAGTATTGGATTCAATGCTCTTACCCCAACAAAAGTACTAGAATAGAACATCATATTATTTATTTACTAGAGGCCCAGTGCACGATTAAATCGTGTGTGTGTAGGGTCCCCTAGGCCTAGTCTGCCATCAGGGCCATGTCCACCGCCCCTGGCACCTCGCATGCTCCGCGGACGCTGCCGCCCCTTGCGCTCCACCGGATGCCAGGTTCTCACCTTCCCTGGGCCTGGCGTTCACCCACTTGGAGGATGCCTGTAGGCAGCAGCCCCATTGTGGAGCCGCTCTTGGCGCCCTCCCCTTTGGCCATGACCTGCGGGCCGCGCCATCTGGTATCGGGTTGCCGGGATGTCCTTCTGCTCCACCGGCCTCTGCTCTGTCTGGGCTCGGGTAGTAACCGCTGCTGCCAGCACAGTCGCCGTGCAAGAGTAAAGCTGGCAGGCCGGTGGCACACGCAAGTGCACACCCCCTTACACTCCCCCTCACACCTCTCAAAGGTTAGCGCCGCCCTTTTGAATCCAGCCAATCCGGGAGCCCTGCTACTCCACCTCCAGCCAATCCGTTTGCCCACCGGCCTCCCCCCCTCCCCCAACTGCCTTCCCAACCACCCTGGGGGCTCTCAGTCTTTTGAGCTGAACCTTGCAACCCAGTGAAGGTGGGGAGGGCCACCTGACACACCAGGAAACTGAAGTCCGAGGCTGAGTGTGAGCGCAGCTCCTCTCTGTTCCCTCCTATGGAGCCTGTCCTATCCCTCTGGCCAAGTGCTCAGGTCCCGCCCCTCCCTGATGTCAAGGGCCTATTCTGCCTCCCCGCGGCTGCCTGCCTGCCTCCCACCTCTGCCGCCTTGGCTCCGTTCCTGTCTCCGCCGCCTCTACTTTGCTCCCTTCTGCAGCAGTTGGCTTCGTTCTACCTTGTCTTCAGTCTTTGCTCCCAGCCGGTATATGCAAATTAACCGCCATCTTGGTTAGGTTAATTTGCATATATTTGCTCTGATTGGCTGGTGGGTGTAGCGAAGGTATGGTCAATTAGCATCTTTGTCTTTTATTAGTGTAGATGTTTCATAATTACTGTAACATCTTCAAGGTGGATTATTTCTTCTGATAAATATTAGTAATTTTTATGGAATAACATACAGAAGAGTGTCCTATAGTATCAGGTATACACTAATAGTTTTCTCCTTTTCTTTTCTGTTAACATTCTCCCCTCACCCCCAATAATGAATTTGCTGCTTGAGCTTCTTCTCTACCCATTCCCTAAGTTTCCCTGAATGGTATCATCAGTGACCTACCACTTTCTAAATTTCGTACTTTCTCATTTTTATCTACTCTGACTGTTCTATTGTATATGCTACCAATGCTGACTTCCTGCTTTTTAAAAACCCTGTTGTCTTACATAAATCTGCTGTGCTTTTATTTTTTTGCTAACTTGACGCTCTTTCTCATTTTTCTTTTTTTTGGGGGGTGGGGGTAGGGGAGGGAGGTCTGCCCAGTAATCTGTATTTTTTAGATGAAAAGTCAAAGGACCATGACTTGTCCAAGACAGTAATTAAGGTATATGAGCAAGGATAGACAAATAGATATGATTAAAAATAACAGAAATTCCAGGATCTAAAAGACCCATGTATGTCAATACCTGATTTATGAGAAAAAAATTAAGGCATTATAAAGTACTATGTAAAGGAAGATCTTTTAAATACCTAGGGTTGAGATAAAATATTCACATGGCAAAAAATAGAAGCTTTGCATCTATCCCACACCATATAAAATCAATATTCCATTAGTTATATATCACTTGTAAAAGGTTAAAAAATCTCTCTATATAAAACCCCAATATGCAAATAGACAGATTGGTGGAACTGAACAACCAGTCGCTATGACTTGCGCTGACCACCAGGGGGTGCGCTGGGAACATGGTGGGCGTCGGCTGTGTTGGGATGGTGGAGCAGGTGAGCAGGGGCGCCAGACCAGGGCAGGGTGCCGGTTGCTGTCATTGGGGCAAGCCTCTGGTGGTTACTGAAAATTCTTTGCTCTTGCCCGCTGTGGTCCCGCCAGGCGCTTGCACCCATTGCTGGCACCTGGCACCAACCCAGATGGATTGCTCGGCACAGTCAGTGGGTGTGAGCGGCGGCTGCCGGCCCTGATCACCCCTCAGGGCTTCTCCACCTCCCCCTGTTCCTGAGGGGCGACTGGGGCCGGCAGTCGCCACTCGCACCCACTGCCAGTGCCAGCCCCTCTTGTATCCACTGCTGGCGCCAGCCCCAATCTCTCCGTGCAATCAGTAGGTGCGAGTGGGGCCGGCGACCTCAGCGTTAGGGAGCAGCCGTGGCGGGAGCTGGGCTGCTGGCAGACAGAGGACTGGAGGCCGTGGCAGGAGGGGCTGGGTAGGGGTGTGGAGGATGGGCCGAAACCCACACCTGTGCCCACTGCAGCCTCGCAGCCCACAGTTCCTTTCAAGGTGCACGAATTCGTGCACTGGGCCTGTAGTTTTTAAATAATAATAGATAATTTATTCACTGCAGAAACATAATTTTTAGATGTTTCTGCAGTGAATAAATCATAAAACATAAAATCATTGTAAAAGAAAATATTGATAAGTGTACACCTAAAATTAAGAACTGATGCTTACCAAAAGATAGCATAAAGAAAGAGAAAAGACAAACTTTGTATTGGGAGAAGATATTTGCCACATATGCAATCAATAAAGGGCTTGTGTCCAGAAAGTAAAATGAACTTATAAATCAATAAGTAAAAGGACAAAGTTTCACAAAGGGGGATATCCAAATGGCCAAAACAAATGTGAAAACAGTTCAGCCTCATTAATCAGAGAAAGAAATGCAAATTAAAACCACATTGAGATACCACTACACAGCTGACAGAATGGCTAAAATTTAAAAAGGAGAAAAAGCAGGAATAAGCAAGGATGTGAAACAACTAGAACTTTCACACACTGCTAATGGAATATAAATTGGTACCATTAATTTGGAAACTGAAATATGAGCCTATGTATCAAGATACATAATAAGATTGTACATAGCTGCATAATAATAATTCATAGCATTAAAAAACCAAAATCAACCAAATATCCATTATCAGCAGAATGAAAAAAATAAATTTATATAATGGGATACTCTACAACAATGAAAATAAAAGAACTATGGCTATATGAAATAACATAGATGAATTTCACAAGTGTAATAGGGAGTGAAAAAGTCAAATATGAAAGAATATATGGTTTACAGTTCCATTTATAGAAATATCAAAAATAAGTTATGTTTAGGGATTCATGATAAAATTATGAAGAAAAATAGCAATTACTATATATGTCACAATCATGTTTATCTTTTGGGATAGGCATTCATGAAGGGTTATATGGGAATTGAACTAGGTCAGGCCAAATCTGGCCTTCTGTTTTTGTCAATAAAATCCCTTATTGAAACACATCCACATCCTTTTCTTTACTATTGTCTGTCACTGCTTTGGCTACAACAGAATTAAGCAGTAGTGACACAGTTCATGTATCTGCAAAGCCTAAAACATTTACATCTGGCCCTTTACAGAAAAAGTGTGCCAACCTTTGCTCTGGGTGATGGTTACATGAGTGTGCTTTGTGATCATTCATTGAGCCTTACAGTTTTGACACACACTTTTTTGTTTGTATTTTATATATCACAATATTTTAAGAATTAAAAAGCAGTGGAATGCAGTAGGTGTTCTAATGCAAACGTTTTCAAATCACTATGGAAGCACAACAAAGGCTCAGCAGGCTTTAAGTGTAAAAGAATGAGGAGGTCTGGCCCAGGTTGCTCAATGGTTGAGCATTGACCTATGAACCAGGAAGTCATGGTTTGATTCCCTGTCAGGGCTTGATCCTCAGTAGGGGGTGTGCAGGAAGATCAATGATTCTATCTTATAATTGATGTTCCTATCTCTCTTTCTTCCTCTCAATTAAAAAAAGAAATTGTGTTTCTTTAAAAAAAAAAAATTATGAGAAGGACTCCCAGAGGAAGTGATTGTAAAGCTGAGTCTGGAAGCATGAACAGGATTGTCCCAGGTGCCTGAAATAGGGAAGTACATTAGCCGCACAAG